CCCCAGATTGTGGTCACTCCAGGCCTCTCGCACTGGACGCCCCAGATTGTGGTCACTCCAGGCCTCTCGCACTGGACGCCCCAGATTGTGCTGAGTCTCCTTTCCGGGGAACAGTGATCCCAAGGTCGGGGAGCGACCCACCCGAGTCTGTGCGCTGCGCTGGGGCTGAGACAGCAAGGGGAGGAGGGGTCCTGCTGGTCATCCTGGGACAGGCTCGGCTTTGTGAAGTGCTGCAGTTCCCTCTGTTTGAACCCATCTGTCCTTCTCTTGTAGGGTTACAGGTAGTGCTGTTGTCACAATGGCAAGATAAGTGTTAAGATCTGTTAAAAATTAACTCGTAATGTACTGATGTGAAATCTAGTTTTAATTATCAAGCCTGGGAAAGCTAAAGTTTCTGCATGGTAATAATTACCTTGTGCTGTCCAAATCTCAGCTTAATGTCTAATCTCTTTATTTGTACACAAAACACATGGTTTACCAATTGGGGGAGAGCTACTGCTGTCTCATTCATTTCATTTGTAGTGACTTGATCTGTGTTTTATCTATGTGTATATTTTTACAGATCTGAGGTCAGAGTTCTATCATATCATTCGTGTTTTCCTCACTGTTTCACTCTTGCACGCTTGTTGACACCCAGGTCACAAAGCCGTGTGGTGCCTTTGCCATGAGTCAGACACTTGTCATTCCAGTGACCTTGTGAGGAGAGGAGCAGGGAGACAGGTTGGAGCACTAACTGAAAATCAGGACTGCCATCTAGCTTAAGTGTGCTGCTGTGCTTTAGAAAGCAGGAGGTTTTTGTCAGAAGTGCTACTAAAATGCTAAGCAGGAAGATCACTAACTCTGAAGTGAGTGGTGCTCTTTATCCAAACACAGTGAGCAAGGATAGAGTCCGGCTGCTGATTTCAGTGTGGACCTGTGACAGTAAGCTGGTGAATGTCTGTTGTGCAGTATTTATTGTTTAGTCTAAAACCCCGTTTTTATGACTCTGGTGCTTGATGTGTGACTGTATAAGCTCCCAGCAGCAGATTTTTATCCCACCTGTGATTCTGATATAAATATTCAGTTGATTTTGCTGTAGAGGTTTTAGGTTTGTAGCAAAAATCAGCTCAAAGGAAACTCCTGCTGGATAGCGCACAGTAGGAAGGGACAATCTAGTAAGCTGATCAATGAAGATACGGCTGATGCTTTTTAAGAGAAGACCCAGGAATGTTCATGCTCAACCGGACGCTTTACTGCCGATTCCTCTCCAGACGGCTCAAGCCAGCTGTGCCCTTTGTTGTGTTCCAGGGACAGAACGATCTGTAACTTGGTAATTGCACAAGACATATTCTTCTTTTTTACAAGCTGTTCGGTTTTTGGTGTAAACATTCTCTAAAGTTGAAATGACATTTCAGCAGCTCGGAGACAAAGGCATACAAGCCACAAGAGGCTTTACATCATCGGAGAAACAGTAGCCAGATTATCTTCCTAAAGGGCTTGACTAGCCTAATGCAGGTGTTTAATGTTTGGGGCTGCAGCAGCCTGGTAGGTGTGGCTCAGCATACAGAGTGCATAAGCTTTGAAACCTGACTGTCATGTACCTGCTAGTAGGGAAATGCAAGCAAGGTAACTCATGACTCTTAGCTTTGGGAGAGTAATAGTGAGATTAATGTAGCCTTTATTACTTAGGTTACAAATGAGAGGAGGGCTTGTGGCCCATCTTTCTCATTTAGTTATTACTGACATCAACAACATGCCTGGGTGGTTAGTTTTAGACCCCCCAGAAGCCCTTCTATAAAAGTGTGCCTGGTTTCTGCCGTTTGAAATAGTTTCCACCTATTGGGTCTGCTGGTTGATGTTTCGTTCCCTGAGGGGCCTGAACACGCTTTCTGTCTGTGCAGGTGAGCAGCAATGGGGCTGCAGGAGGGGACCAGACAGTCCAGACGGCACAGAACCCACAGCAGCAGCAGCAGCCGCCGCCACAGCCGCCTCCCAACGCCTGGCAGGTCATCAAGGGAGTCCTGTTCAGGTGTGTGCCGTCTCCCCTGCACTGGGCCGACATGACTAGAGGCCACAGGGTCGATGTTGTGCGGCTGGGTCTCCGGAGTGCATTGGGTGTTCTTGCTAAGGGCCTGTCAATATGCAAAGCCATCCTCTAGAAGGAAGTTGAAGTAATTCAGGTGGGGAGCTGTGTCAGCAGGCGTAGGCTGCAAAGGAACAAGCAATAGGTTTATTCCATGCTGAAAAGAGAAGAAAGAAAACACATTTCGGCTGTGGAGCCTTCTTCAGGTCTACGCATCGGGTGCTCCACAGCCGAAACATTGTTTTCTTTCTTCTCTTTTCAGCGTGGAATAGACCTATTTATTACTTGTTCATTGACATATTGGACAGTGTGACGTGTACAGCTGACTAGATTACAAGCAAATTACTTCATCAGTGATGATCGGAGAGAAAACTACAGCATCCAGAATGCAGCAGTTTAGGGCCCTAAAATGTTTCGGATTAGAGAGTTTTCCCCAGTGTCTGCTGAAAAACTACGAAGTTAAGTGTATCGAGCACAAGCAGTGCAGGAGTTCTGAGAAATAAATGATAGCAGTGAGAAACAGACAGAAACGTGGCGGGGTATGAAGACGAAAGGTGAAGGAACAAATAATGCTTTTAGTGTCTCTTATTCATGATAACCCAACTCCAGCCTAGGATATGAATCCACACCTGAAGGGTTAGATGCTGGTTAGACTATAAAAGTGGGTCTTAGCAGCCCTACAGGGCCAGTTGTGAGATCCTGTGCTGACACAACCCTTGTGCATTGGAAGAAATGTGCTCCAGTACTCTACAGCAGCCAGACTGTCATGTGTTTTTTGTAAACCACCAGACTGCTCAGAGTGAAAGGTTATAGATCTCAGTGCTGCTTTTGACACTGGTGACCATGGCGCCTTCCTTTCTCGCCTTGAAACTGGTTGGAGTTTCTGACACTGCTCTCAAATGGTTCAAATCTTACCTCACTGATCGCTGTCACTTTGTCTCTCTTAATGGGTACAGGTCTGAAATCGGTCTTTTTAAGTCTGGTGTTCCTCAGGGCTCAAAACTGGGCCCCTTGCTTTTCAACATTTACATGATGTGGCTGTCTCTATTCTATCTAATTGCATCTCCAACATCAAAACTTGGATGACTCAAAATGTTCTTAATCTAAACTGTGACAAGACTGAAGTCATGCTTATTGGCACCCCCCATCTACTTTGTAAAGCCAATCCTGTAACCCTATCTGTAGATGGTTCTGTACTTGAACTTCAGTTTAAATTGAAAAACCTTAGGTTATATTTGATTCTGGCTTGACATTCGACCCACGTGCAGCATATTGTCAAAAATATTTTTTCACCTCAGAAATATCGTTAGGCTACGCCCTATGTTATCACTAACTGTGGCTGAAAAGCTGATGAACACATTTGTGTTCTCCCGAATTGACTACTGTAGTGCTCTACTCGCTGGGGTATCTAAATCTACTTTGAACAAACTGCAGTATGTCCAAAATTCGACAGCCAGGATCCTGACCAGGTCTAGTGCAAATGATCACATTACTCCTATCCTGGAGTCCTTTCAGTGGCTTCCTGTCAAATTCTGTGTGGACTTTAAAATCCTCACGCTCACCTATAAGGCTCTGCATGGCTTGGCACCTCAGTACCTGTGTGAACTATTATCGCCCTACTCCCCACCTCACAACCTTCGCTCTGCTAATTCTGGTCTCCTATCTGGTCCCCAAGCCTGTCTACACTCTAGGAGTGACAGGGCCTTCTCCTGCTGCGCCCCAAAGCTCTGAAACTCTCTCCCCAAAGATATCCGAGAGTCACCTTCTCTAAACTCCATCAAATCCATGCTTAAAACCTTCTTCTTTAGAAGAGCCTTAACTGGTTCCATTATTTAGCCCTTTACTCCTACTATGCCTAGTATCACCATCCACGGTCTCCTCTGTGTATTGTAATTGTGTTTTACCTTGTGTATTCTTCTTATTTATTGCTGTTGTCATTTGGTAACATGCTTTAAAGGTGCTATATAAAATAAAGTTTATTATTATTATAGAATATGTTCTGATATTCATGGATGTGATCCCATTTAAAATGACATAAAGTGCCTTCTATGTACATAAATCTCAGGGTGTATTAATCATTCGCACCCTACACACGAGCACCTGATGACCTGCTTGCTGCTGGAGAGGCCTGGCAGTGGCTGGTCTGGCGTGTCCCCAGGTCAGAGCCAGCCACCTCACCCCCAGCCATACCCATGCAGGAGGGAAAACTAGCAGGGCACCTTCTTTAAGCTCTGGATTCTTCCTTCATTTCGGCAAAGAACTTACAGAGGCGAATTATGTGCGGAAAGGTCTTCATCCACCGGAAAGGGCCCTGTTGATTTGGACATCCGTACATGCAGATGCTATCAGTGAGTGCACGTTCGAACTGGCCAAGACCAGAGCTGTGGACGGGCAGCAGACCTGGACAGAGCTCTGTAGAAAGGGCTGTTGCGAGAGTGCATGTGAGCATCATGCTGCTCTATTCCATTCAGAATAGCCATTTGCACTGTGGTGGACATTATTCCCTTGGGAATGGACAGGAATAAAGGGAGTGTGCCACAGATTTCAAACAGAAAACAATCCGGAGTCATGCAGATTAAGCCCGGTAAGTTGTTTTCCAGCAGGAAAGCAAACTGAAAACCTGACATTTCTGAAATTAAAATGTCAATCAAAATACAACCAAAGGCTTAAAGGGTTTTGAAATTTTATTTCACACATTTTCGACTTGAGCATCACACAGTTAGTAGAGCACCCGAAAAGTGTGCAGATATAAGACTTTTAAGTCTGAAACTCTCCTACTTGGACAGATGCCTATTAAATATGTGAGCAGTGAAGCACCTGTGTGTTGCAGGGGTGTTTGTTTATTTTTGGAAACTGTAATTGGTGTCAGTGGACTCCATCATTACAGGTAATTGAAGGGATAATTGCAGGTGTTGTAACATGGTGGTATTTATAGAGCTGCTCTGCCTGAGCCCTACAGAGGTTTGACAGACGTCCCCAGACAGAATGTTTTGAGAAAATGGTGAAATCTCACATGGAGTGTTGCTGCACCAGATCTAGAGCTGCTATAGATGATTAAACAGTTACCAGTGTTTGTCTCTGCTTGTACCACTCGTAAGCTGTAAAGAATGAAGATCATGCTGTTCATTTCAGATTGTTCCATAATTATTAGATTTTTTACAAGCATTGGTAATACATGCATAGAGAAGTTGCAGTGATTATTTTGTTCCTCATAACTACGCCCTGGTGATCAGATAATACTTATCATTTCTCAGGGCACGATTGATATTTTTTGCATATCACATCGACCCATTTCCTTTTCCTGTACAATTTCGTAACGGTTTCGAATTTTTCAAAAAACACTCACAGGTCTTTTAAAAAGTTTGAATACTGATTTTTTGCCGCACAGTAGTGTACCATGTGTCTCTGCTTATACCATAAAAAGTCTAGCGAACCTTGTGGGCTTCTGATTTCTGAAGTGCTTTATTAATATTGCTTGTTAGCTGTGCACTGTTTGCGCCATTGTGTGCTGAAAGAGGCCGCAATTTGTCCAGTTACACTGACCAGGTCTGGTCGGAAGGGCCGCAGTCCAGTCCACACGCTGACCATGTCTGGTCGGGAGGGTTGCAGTCCAGTCCACACGCTGACCAGGTCTGGTCGGGAGGGCTGCAGTCCAGTCCACACGCTGACCAGGTCTGGTCGGGAGGGCCAAGAGTCCAGTCCACACGCTGACCAGGTCTGGTCGGGAGGGCCAAGAGTCCAGTCCACACGCTGACCAGGTCTGGTCAGGAGGGCCAAGAGTCCAGTCCACACGCTGACCAGGTCTGGTCAGGAGGGCCAAGAGTCCAGTCCACACGCTGACCAGGTCTGGTCGGGAGGGCCGCAGTCCAGTCCACACGCTGACCAGGTCTGGACAGGAGAGCCACAGTCCAGTCTTCACGCTGACCAGTGTTTGGAGCCCCAAGGCGCCGAGTGAGGCTCCCTGTGAAAAAACACTTGTTTTTTTTCCCCACAGTGCCGTCAGGAGTCGTTGTCTCTTAACTTTCCCGTTGTTTCCTATAGGATTTTCATCATCTGGGCGATCAGCAGCTGGTTTCGCCGAGGGCCCTCCACGCCGGACCAGAGCTCTCCG